TAATTTTAATTTTAATTTTAATTTTAATTTTAATTTTAATTTTAATTTTAATATTTATTTTAATTTTAATTTTATTTTATTTTGAATTTCAATTTTAATATTAAATTTTAATTGCGAGTTCAAATACAGTTTTGAAAAAAATGTCAAAATTGTAGCACCCTGTAAACACACTATATTTACATTTACCACTTTAACACCCCTAATTTGTACCGCTATGTCAATGTCAACGTTATTGAATGACGCTAAATTTTTGCTGACACGCGTCCCGGTTATGCCAGCGCCTTGGAGGGGAAACACCAAAGCCAAAGTGAATTGCGGACAGAAAGAAGTGCACAAAAGTAATTAAAATCAAAGCAGCGAATTTTTTCGTTTATTGCAAATTTTAGCGCTTTCATATGTTTTCTTAAGTCACATATGACATATGATTGAATAAACATGAGTCCATGTTTACGTAACTATTATAATATATAGGCGTGCGTACGTATAATATATTCGAAAATGTATGTATGCAGTGCGGTGTGAAATGCGAGACCGAATGTGTTTTGTACATATGTATATGTACGTTATATTATATTAAGATACATTATGTTAAGTAAGTTATGCTAAGCAATGTCATGTTCAACTACGCAATGTTATGTGTTGCTGTGTTATGCTGTACCATATTCTGCTATGTTAGGTTAAGTTACTTTATTTAAAATTACCATATGTTATTCTATGCAGTGTTGTGTTATATTATTCTATATGTTATGTTTTGATGTGCTATGTTATCTTATGATATGTAATGTTAAGTTTTGCTATGATATGCAATTTTTTGCTTTGTTACGTTAATATGCTATGCAACGTTATGTTATGTTATCTTATGCTAAGTGACATTGTATTGCGCAGTGCTATGTTTTATCATATTACGCATACACTAACATACACATTTACATACATATGTAAACATACGCATGTTGTTTGACAGTTCATTGACTTTGTATTGGCACGCGTTGAAGCGCATAAAGTCAGCAAAAAATTAACAGCACTAACAATCAGCAGTAATGTTGAATGGCAAATGTAAATATTAAATTTACTGTTCATTTTTTATGTGCAGTTTTCGTTCAGTTTTATTTCCATTGTTTACTTGCTAGATTTATTTGCGTACTATCGTTGCAGTATGTATATTTGGACATAAAGGTGGTTCAAAAAGATAAAACTTTGTGAATGTTTTTAGTACAGTTCTACCTCCTACATCTGTTCTAGTTTGAGTCAAAAATATTACAGGTAAACTTTTCGCGGAAACAGAGCCCGTTAGGGTTCTACTCCTTTATCTACACCTAAAAAACGATTTTGCTGTATGCGCAGTTATAATATAGCATACAATTTTAACCCAATCGATGACTATGAAGGCGTGTCAAAACTCAAAGTTGTATTGAAACCGCCAAAATTGAATATTACTCCTTCATAATTAATACCGCAAACCTATACTTTTAATTAAGAAGTTATCAAATTTAAATTTTTAATCCGTTGGAAGACTCCTAAGGTAGGAATTTCTTTAGCATATGGCGTGCTTTAACCGTCTCCATTCTAGACCAAAATTTATTTCTGATATCCTCAACCGTGTTAAACCGTTAAAGTTCAGAAAATAGATAAATTAAGTTTTAAAATAAATTTAAGTAGCAATATGGAAAATAAGCATTGATCATATTCATGCGGTACAAAAAACGCTGAACAGGTTTTGAGATATTGACCTGAAATTGCGCAAACGTACTTTTTTTACCACTCATTCTTCGGATTCTTCAATATTAGACAACTATAACATATAGCTGCTATACAAACTGATCGATCAAACTCAAGTTCTTGTATTGAAAACTTTTTATTTGACTAGGCATCGCCATGAATTTTGGCATATATCAACGCATTGAAACAATCTTAGAATATATTGTGTAGATCGGATCAATATAGCATATAGCAGTCATGTATACTGATAATTTAAAATCAAGAAAAGTAACTTTTGCGCAATAAAAATGCACCTGTGAAGAGTTTTTTTAGCTCTGGTGCAGCCGTAGTTAACATCTTTTTGTTTTCAACGAATATCGATAGAAGAGTTAAGTTTCGAAAATTTTAGAACCAGCCTAGTGTGTTACGTCTTGCATATGTATATGAGTGTGCTACGCTTTTTACTGATTTCAAATTACTGTTTTAAATTTTACATTCTTTTGTGTTCACTTTTTGCCAGCTTTGCATTTATGCAAGCATTCCATTGTTATCACAATTGCCGTGTTGTTGTGTTGTGTTTCAAGTATTTAATTTTTTTTTGCGTTTTTTAGCAGTTTTTACGCGCATTAACTATTCATTTGGCGAATTTAATTATTTTAAAACTTTTTTTTTCAGCTGAACTTTTTAATTATAAGTATTTTTCAATAATATTATTAATTCCTCATGTACATATATTATTAGCTGTTGCAATTGGATCAAATTATCACTTTTTCATATTCTAGTTGGAATATTTCACTTTATAATAATCTGTATTTGCTAAGTATTGTAGACCATTACCGTTATGGAATCGTTATCATTATCAATATCAAGTTTTATTCCTGTTATCACCAACATAACCATTATCAATAATATTATCATTACTATTATTCTTATCATTACCATTATCAATATCATTATAAGTATTATTCCCATTATCTCCAACACTACCATTACCATTATTATTATCATTTGAAGTATCATTCCCTTTATCATTACCATTATCATTATCATTACTATTATCATTAATATTATCATTAACATTATCAATAGAAGTATGATTATATTTAACCTCATCGATATCATTATGAGCTTTCATTACAATTACCAACAACATTATCGCTACAACGATTATTATAACCATCGAAAATTATTAACCAAAGAGCAGAAAAAATGCGGTTATATATTAGAAAAGAAATAAGAAATAGAAAACCGTTAGACAATCATTGTATATAACTTCTAATAATACAAGGAAATCCTCTGCAATATTTCAAGGACCTCGTTTGCATCGGTCAGTGTGTATAACAGCTATGGTCTATAGTGGCCTGTTATCGGCGGTTCTCACAAATTATCAGCATCTTGATAAGAAAAGCACGTGCGCGAAATTTTAGATCGATATCTCAAAAACTGAGGGACTACTTAACGTATTTACAGACAGACAGGCCGACAGTCTGATTATTTATATATATATTTTATAGGGTCTCTCACTTTTGAGTGCTACAAACTTCCTGTTCAGGGCGTAAACATTCTCTACTCAATGCTTCAATTCTCTTTACTGAGACTTATAAGAAAACTTTACTCATCGTTTAACGTTTTGTGAATTTTTTGAATTATCCTTTTGAGTTAAGGGGTTTCCCCTGTATATTTTTAATGTTTGGTGAAGTTCAGTCCAAGGTATCAAAGACAAAATTTGGTGGCGAAGAAAACGCCTTACTTTACTAGTTTGATTAATCCAGCACAATTTCTAATCTCAAATTTTGTGAAGTTGGCACATTGAAGCATTTCTAACGTAACGGCATGTCCGACAGAGCCATCAATAACAATTACAAGTACAATCAACACAAGTACGATAGCCTATGGAATATATACTTAGCTTAAAGCTTCCGCATGTAGTTTGCAAATGAGACCAAATTGACGTGGCTTCGGTTGTGATACACAAATCGTTTGCTGATGATAACAATTAATTAAAGACAATCGAAAACGTGTCGGTCGCAGCAGCTTCAACCACAAACAAGACAATATATTTAACAGCGATAAATAATATGCAGATGTTGGTGGCACATATTGTGTGATTGTTATTATTCTTTTAAAAAGTAAATAAGAAGATAATGTTAAACACGACCTTACTTAGGATAGCACGGTTATTGTTCTATAAGAGGTGGATTACGAACAGAAAGCTGAGCAATTTGGAAGAAGCTTCAAATGAGTAGTGTGGTCAAACGCGCTGCAAATAATTTTTAAAGAAAGCGCACCACATCGAAAGCAGGCGAAAGTAGCCGACGACAGGCTAGGTAACGCAGCATATACGAAATCATTAAGATGAAAGTTATTATCGTCTTTATGATGGGAGGTAATATAAAATTGGGCTCAAAGACAGGAGAAATTCGTCTTATTCATTTTTCATCTTTTTCTTACAGTTCTTTTGCAAGGCTGTGTTGCGCAGGAGGCGAACAAACAAACTGCAAAAGAAATTTCAGTAGAACCAAATCCCATTTCATCAGCCGATCTGCAACTAAAGAGGGATCTCGTAATGATTATACCATCTACAAGCGATCCGTCGACTGGACAACGGACGGAACTGGTCACAAATACATTACTAGTGGAAACCCAGAAGGAGCTAGACACAACTACAAGATCAATAGAAACCAAGAAGCAACTAGTCACAACTACGTCAGCAATAGATACCAAAATGGACTCGTTCTCAACTACACCACCAATAGGAACCAAGTGGAAATTGGGCTCAACTACTACATCTACAGGTAACAAGTTGGAATTGATCACAACCAGTCCTCCACTGGAAACCAAGAGGGAATTGGTTCCAACCGTAACTTTGATAGCTACTAGGAGCGAACTAGTTCCATCTTCACCGTCTCCAGAAACCAAAAGGCAGCTGGCCAGAACTACAACACCAATAGATACTAAGTGGGAACTGCTCCCAACTACAACCCCAATAAATACCAGGTGGCTACTGTTCCCTACTGCAACTTCAATAGGTGCTAGGAGTGAACTGGTACCCACTACAACTCCAATAGGTTCCAAGAGGGAAGTAGTCCAAACTACACCACCATTGGAAACCAAGAGGCAGCTGGCCACAACAACAACACCACAAGAGTCCAAATGGCAACTCGTCCCAACTACAACTCCAATAGACACCCCGTTGGAGTTGGTCATAACTCGACCGCCGTTAGAAACCAATATTGAATTGGTCCCAACTGCAACACCAATAGATACTAAGAGGCAGCAGGTCTCAACTAATACACCAATAGATGCCAGGACACAACTAATCCCAACTACACCTCTATTACAAACTAATGTGGAATTGGTCAAGACTACAACACCTATAGGAATCATAAGGAAACTGGTCAGAACTACAGAACCCGTTGGAACCATGGAAGAACTGGCCCCAACAATAACACCTCTAAGTGCCATAGAGGAACTGGTCCCAACCAAGGGAGACGTAGTAACAACTACCCCACTAAGCGGAATCACAAGTTCTTTACCTCCTATCATAACCACAATATTGACGTCTACAATGTCTATTCCCGTTCTCGTTAATAAGCCTACGAAATTACGCAAATACCCGAAGAACAGATTAAGGTCAAGGCGACGTCGTACAACAACGAAGCCACCCTTCCATGTTACCAAAACTAGCTGAGCATTGTCATTCACGACCAAGAGGTCAATTTAGTCTGCCGTCGAGTCTATACTGCGTATGGCGTTGTCTGGTGGACATTTCTTTAATTATGCGTATTTATCAAATTAAAATTAAATTGTTATTAGCCAACTTTTTTATATACTCAAATATATTTTTAACAAAGCTTGATAGAGAGAAATTCGAGTTCCTTTTCCGTTCCTTCAGAATAAATTTTCAAAAATTTTGATGTTTGATTTCAAATAAATAAAAAGGTCTCTTTTCTAAAAGTAAATCAAATAGTTATTAACTACATATATATAATGAAGTTAGATGTACAAGGCTTAGTCTACCAAATAGCCGAACCAACCGAAATAACAGTGGACTTCCAGCATAAATATGGGAGGTGTGTCTCTCTAGAGTGAAAAACTCATTATTGACTCAATTCTTAATTTTGTTGTTCGAAGAAAGAAACATATTTGTAAATTAATTAATCTACAAATTAAAAGACAAGAATTTGGCAGATTCAGAATGTCAAACCACACTCCTGCCTGGTTTGAAGCATTGGACTGTTAATTATCTGAGCGGTCGACAATTATACTATTATCAAACTATTTCGAGGTCAGCTCTCTATTATTCTAAGGTACAAGGTGCGTTCCAAAGTACACAGTAAAAAAGTAGCAAAGTAAACTCAAGTGGCGCCATCTATATGTCTTGAGCTACTTGTAAGAATAATTAAATAGCGAGTTTCGCAGAGTGGTAACCACCAGAGGGAATTTCCATTACCTTATACGCAGATGCTTGTACGATATGGACGTCAAGCAATGTACAATAATTGATGGCATTTATTAAAGAGAAATCTCACCGATTCTTTTCAACAAGTAGCCCAACAGTCTCCCTCACTAAATCCACAGCGCCCATATTAACGAACTGGACGAAAGAGTAAAGATTGAATCTTAATATCGCCATCGATGGCAATAAAATTCCGTTTGTTAACAACCCTACGATTTTAGGTGTTGCTTGATAGCCTGTCCTCTTTCACTACACAGACGACCGCAATTTTTGCTAAAGTACAATGTCGTAACTACCGACTCCGTTTCTTCAACGACTTCAGGAGGTAGTTTAATTAAAATATTAATTTTGACTTACTACGAAGAACGATTCTTGTCCTATGGGCACCGTCATTCGAGCTTGCTGGTCTGCCAGTTGATTTCCTCCTTTGAATGTCAGTCCAGGAGTCCATATGTGGTAAACCCGATTGCAACCTAATTGGCGGACTTAATTTATACAATATGTCTAACCTTGTACAAATGTATTTTCTTGAGTGCAGTCTGACTATAGCTCGAATATAGATTGGTGTAGGTACACAGACTGCGAATACCTTCGCTTCAACAATATGAAGACACCCTTTCGCCAATCCTTACGACTCGACGGTCTATCATTGAATGATGCTCTCGGTGCGGTAACGGTGAATCTGGAAATTTATCCATTCAACTAACGTTTCTGTAAGTTTTTATGGGAATTCAATTTTTACACATATTATACGATGTCTAAAATATTGCATCATAAAATTCTTGGCGTTCACTCACTTCCAAAACATTTCAAAGTTAAACCACACTGGCAACGATTAAGAGTAAGTTTTGTCATAAATACTTAAAAAGTCTGCTTTTGGGCATTTACAAATTTCCGCTCATTACAAAATTATTTTCGGTTGAAACCTGAAAAGTTTTCACTTTTACAAGCCACACAATTTACTCGACAAATACTTAATAAAGCGAGCTCAACTAGTGCGGCAGCTGCGGCGTAGGCGGCAGGTAAGCTTGTGCGCCTAAGGGTAGACTACATGCATTAATATTATTATCAAAATTGTTCAACCGAGGAAACGAAGCGGTAACAAACACACGCGCCGGATGTGTGGCGACGCAGTGGTTGGTGATGAAGATATCACAGCTCAGCTGAGCAATTAATGCAGCAGACTTACACACACCACTACCACTAGATACTACTATTACTACTGCGCTCCTGTATGTATGCCATATATATACAGTCTGTGTGCTTGATCCACAAATAATCCCGTTGCGCACATTAAACTGGCAACCACCGCACCGTATGCCAGCTGCCGCATGCCACATTTCACTTTCGCACTTTTGCCTGCAACGCAAGGTGTGGCAAATACCCTGAACTCACACGGTGCCGCTTCCGGTTTTTGTTGCAACGGTTTGTTTGTTGTTTGCGCCCATTATTTTTGTTTTATTTATTGTTGTATGTGTTAAAGTGGGAGTGTGTGCGTCAGACTCAATTAAAAGCCACCTTATTTATGTTGTGGCACAACTCATGTGGCAGCACACATACTACCTTCCGGCTGTTGTTGCAGTTGTCAGTCATGCACAAATATACATATATAACGGTATATTACCTGCATCATGCGTTCACTTACGTTCAAATGTTTTTGTAAAACTTGTAGGTATGTGGCAGCCAAAATATTTAAGTCGGAAAATCTTTCAAATTATATAAACTCGTACTTCCAGCGTGTGGACAAGGCGCTGAGTTGAATTTTATTGGAAATATATTATTTGGCATATGGCACAGTGCTACTGACTCTTCGTGAATGAAAAAGTGTACTTAGTTCTCTTACATATCTTAAAGATTAATAAGAAAATATTTTTAACTGGGCTGTCGTTTGGTGCCGAGGTACCTTTAAACTCGGCAACGATGTTACTCACTCTAATTAAATTTTCGGCACTTATAGTTATTCCCGTCTGATGACAGAGTAAAGTACCTAGGGCTCATTCTAGACAACAAACTCTCGTGAAAACCTAGCATCGAAAAAATAAAAGCATAAGTTGTCGTTTACTGCTGAAGGTAAGCCACAGCCGAAAGTCAACGTATTTTGATTAAAGTTTATGATGAACGTGCCTTAGTCGAGCAAACTTACCGAAATAGGTGATTTTGGCTTAGAAGGCGAAGAACGTGCTGGGTGCCTAAAAAAATTTGAAGATGAGGTACTAGAAGCATTAATCGATGAAGATTGCTGTCAAATACAAGAAGAGCGCGCATAATCTTATGGAGTGACTCACGAAGATATTTTAAAACAAAGGAATTTGGTTTGTGACTGCTGATGAAAAAGGTATCCATTACGTCAATGCAAGAAAGCATACGTGACCGGTAAATCAACGGCAAAGTCGGATATCCTTGACGCCAATGCTCTGTATTTAGTGGGATCAGAAGTGTGTGCTGCATTTTGAGCTTCTAAAAACGGGTTAAATCTACTAACTAACAACTTGTCAAATTAAAGCTAGTGATTGCCAAAAATTTTTCGGTAATTTGCGACTAGACTCGAATCATTTTCCATCGTGAAAACGCTCGGCCTCTTGTTGCAAGACCAGTTAAAAACTAATTGGAAAGTAGAAAGCAGCGGCTGGACACTTTTAGCCTAGACCTTGCCTCTTCTGATTTTCATTTGTTCCGGTCGATACAAAACATCCTCACTGTAATACGGGTCACAATGGACGGTGTATCAAAATTTTGCCAAAAACGTTCTGGGCCGCCTAGGTGGTGAGGAACAGTTAATCACTTCCCCAACCTACCATATTTGGACAAACTCGTATCCATGCAAAGTGTTACCATAATTTTGTTCAAAATGCCTTGGATTTAAAGTTCTTATATTCCGTTGTTATATTGAGAGTGAAAGTTGAAATACACATATATATATACAGATCTCTTAAATCATTTTTTAAGTAAGATCTAGTAAAAGATTTGCATTTTTGAAATTTAATTTTTTAATAATAATTTTTCAAAAACAATTTACTAAGGCCGCAGTAGGGAATCGAGCTAAATTTATGTGAAGTAACGCACTTCGTAATCACAATCGGCATAATGTGTTTTTGGCCTTGGTTTTGACTTGGGTCTGACTGACTGTATCGGCTTGTATGAGTATGTTTGCTCCTCGCTGTAATCATGCTCCACATAATAGTGATGAGGCGCTGAAGCAGCTGGTTTTGATGACTTATAATGCGAATAAGAATCAGATGGATGCCCATATTTAGACGAAGGTATTGAATGTTGGTGACTATATGCAGACGGTGGTTGATAAGCTGGTGCCGGAACTGGTATTGGGCCGTAGGCAGGGGTGGGTGCAGGTGTCCTGTTTGACGGCGCTGGTGCCTGACCATAGGTTGGAGCTGGAGCTGGAGCTGCTGGTGCCGGCTGCGGTCTATAGACTGGTGCTGGACCATATGCAGACGGTGGTTCGTAAACAGGCGATACGGCTGGTGCCGGTGCCGGCGTTTTCACATCTGTGGTTTCAGTCTTCTTTTCCTTGAAAAAATCAAATAACTCCAATAATTTTTCATCGAACTTTTCCTTTTTCTCCTCCCATTTCTCTAATTTATTTTCTACTAAGGAGCCCAAAGTCTTGTCAAGCTTTTCTTTCTTCTTTTCAAAAAGATTGAAGGGTTTTAGGAGTTTGATTGTGGGAAATTTTATATTCACATGCTCATTGCTCTCCTCATCAATACCGTCGTTTTCAATGGTGATCAGCTTCTTAAAAAATCCTTCCGATTGTTGAAAGGCTGTCAGGAAAATAAAAAATATATATAAACATATGAATATATATCCTTACACAACTATTTCTTGTCGCCTCACCAAAAATAGCCAACAACAATAGCGCCAGCTGCTCTCGTCGCCCCAACATTGCCACCATTGTCTTCGTATGGCTTTGCTCGTTTGTCCACACCACTTGCCACACTCCATATTTATAAAGTATATAAGTAAGTATATAGTACTTCACCACTTTGCCATCCATCAAACCAAGCCACTGGCGTATTTTTCACAGATTTGTTGGAATTAGCCACACGGCACGTACACATTATGCCAACTATGTTCAGTGTTTGGGAAGTGTGATAAGCGCCAGCACAGCTGTCTTGCCACGCATTCCGCTCAAAATGCCTGTGATAAGCCTATCGAACTTTAGTTTTGCGTGACTGAGCCATACAAGTGGTGGCGACATTAGGCAGATATGGGTAAAGGCATACTAGATACTTATGGCTTAGTCGCTTGGATTTTGTAAAATATCAAAAATGTGCCGTTGTATACTTACAGTAACATTAAGAAAGCAACAATAATGTAAAGCGAAGTTAAATGAGCGAAATCGAGTCAGTACAGTAGTACTTATGTTATTGCATGGAGAGCGCACAAATTTTGTATTATGAACGATTACAGGGGTGAGACGACCCAGAGGTGGTGAACTGAGCTCTTGTCTATAACAATCTCAGATCTGGTCGATAGTGATGTTCTGTCGACTGAATTGTTTAAACATTGTAGAGAGGAGCTGAAGGGGTGTAAATGTAATGAAGATTGAAAATACAGGGCTGGTTAGGTTACTCTAGTAGGCTAATAAGCCAAACATAGCCCAGTTTTGATCCTTCGCGTTAGCAAATGGACTGCCGTCACGTAGTCTAAGAGGAGTAGTCAATCTTTAGGATGCCAGGGCTTGACGCGAATTTCAATAAGTTCTGTGGCCTCACTAGCGTTCACTCTTACAGTGTTTCATACCATAGGGTAAATATCGTCACTCTTGGCAATCTTTTCCACTATCTCGTAACCCTCGATGCCTTTGTGATCTGGCATCCAGTAGAAGTGAAACCGTTTGTTCCTGGTGATACTCTCCAATGCCATTAAGACACTTTTGGCCGATACGTGAAACGAAGTTATTGCCTCATCTTATATATTAGAAGTTAATTCAGGTCTGCTGATGCATTAGAGGCTAGTTCCGCGGATTCGAAAATATGTTATATGTCGTGTCATCGAACATATTCGTTTAAACACTAGGTAAAAGTTTGCAGTGTTAAATATTTGTGCAGTGGCGCTAAAATTCATCCAAAAATGGAAAAATGATAATTCGGTTATAATAAAATACCGATAAAAAATGTATTTTAGGTGAAGTATCAGTGAAAATTAGAAAGATGTTTTATTTACAATGTTTAGCGCGTCGAAAGCGTTTCGAAAATGCTTTCCTGAAGTTAGCTGATTACACAGCTTAAGCTTCTTAATCTATAATATATCGAATTTAAAACCATTGATTCACAACACCAACGTTTACCCTAAATGCGCTGATGCAATGTCTCTGAGCCAATTTTTCTCCTTAAAGCTTTGGACTTTTGGAATAACAAATGTACATATGAACTGTTCCAAAGCTACTAATAGATCATTCGTAGCCAAAAATATCTTCAAATAATTATTTATAGAATCTGAAATCGACTTTGTCGAATCTAACAGTCATTTACAACTATATTCAAATTTTCCAGATATTCTAATGGACTTCTTTATAACGTCATTATGGGGTCATCCATCAAACACGGAAGTTACATTGGGAATATTTTTCATGCCAGAAATACCTCGACTGACATTACCCACTGATAGGCGAAATATTTGTGAAATAATCTATTTTTCACTATACGACTGCGCATTCCTTAGAAGTATGCAGCGGTTCGGCGAGCAGTGATTAAATGTCTTCGATTCGTCAAATGTTAGAGAACACAACAGCTGTTAAAATATACTGGCAGTGCTGGCGAATCAGTCCTACATTTTTGACATATCGATCATAAATTTTTCCGCCTCGTTTACGACCAGCATATATCTACCATATAAACTGATCGATAAAAAGTTCTTGTAAGGAATATTTGAACGTGTGAAGGGCACTATGGCTTCGTCGCAGCCGCTTATGACTTTTCAAGAGGCATAAAACTTTTATACACGGAACCGATTACCTGTAATATACCAGTTGTAATATACGAAATAACGAATGATTCACAACAAAAAAAAGGGACTAACCAATAGTCTATATTACTAGTCAACTGCAGACAGATAGATAGATATTATACAGAGTCTCTCATTGCGCTATTCAGCAGCCGTATTGATTGGTGGATTTACGTTAGTGGAACACAGATTTATATACAGATAGGGACTATATACTCTAAAGCATTACACACATATAAAATAACTCTCAAATAGTTACGTAAATAATTCTCTGAGAATGTTTCCATATGCCTTATAGTGAAACCTCTTGTTTCTTAATACAACTTGATGATATAATTTCATTTGAGGTTAGGAGTTCTGGGAACTTTTTAGTTTGGTTTATATTTACAAGTAGGTTAAACATAGTTGCTCTGGAAGCCTCTTTGAGGCACTACTCGTACAATAGGGTTTGTGTTTAAATAAGTAAATTATAAATCCGTATCCATTGGCTTGAAGCAGTAAAACTATCTGTCTTTAAGCTGCTACTCTAAATAGAGACTCCACTCTAAGTCTAAAAGTAGTTTCTTCGGAAATTCACTTATATTTGCGGTGATTTATGCAAGAACTGCCTACTACCGCTTCTCCAAGCGTACGTGTGAACTTATTATATCTTTGCTGAACATATCTTCTTTCATAAATTATTCATGTTTATATTATTTGATAATTTTATGCCATTGATTATATTTACATAAAGATAAATGTATTTGCATGCGGCTTATCAAATTACACCACCTAGTCACATATATACACAGAGACACATACCTACATATGTATTTAATATATAAGCATATACATATACATATGTACCATACATACGCATATTTGCTTTTTGCTCAAGTCGGTCGTCGTTGGCTAGCTTTGGCGCGTTGTAGTAAACAACTACGGACGAATACATGGTAGTTCACTGTTTTAATAAATAATAATATAAAAATTGGAAAACATAAAAGAAATAAGTCATAAATGACTATTTAATAGCAAGTTTTTCTATCATTTTCGGAATTCACTTTCCTTTTTGTGGTTACTTAGTTCTGAGACAGAATTCTGCTTTGAGAGACTTTTTTGATGTTTTTTTTTCTTATTGTTTTTACTCTGAATATGAAAAATATAGTATGTAGCTGTTAATGGCCTGAAAACAGGATGGCTAAAATACTGCTTTAACAAAAAAATAATCAATTAGGAAAAAAAAATATTGGAGCTCATCAACTTTTATATGAAAATGTACCCTATTTTCAATTAAGGTAAGGCAAGGTAAGGTAAAAACTTACCACATCTGTTAGCTTGTACCGACTCATACTATTAATTATATTTTTGAGATTCTTTCGTGGTTTTTATGCTTTAGCTCATAATTTTTTTTTACTCTATATGCGCCATAAGACCCCAATTTTTAATGGACTGGGTGCAAAACTCCGTAACTTTACGGTAAACCGACAAAACTGCCTAATAAGGGCAAACATAGCTCATATGTATTCAAATGGCCAAACGATATTTCTAGCATAATTTCTAAAGCAAAATATGTATTAGAGATGTTTTAAGCTCCGAATTCTATACTTAATTTTGAGGTGCTTCTTATTCATATATTGGACTCTACTTTATATTGTACTCCGAAATCTATGCCACTTCCTAATTATATTTTTATTGGGCTCTAGTCGGTCACATGTGGGTTTTAAAATCTTCAGATATGGCAATTTTGCTTATCTGCCAACCTTTTAGCTAAGAAGAGTATTCTTTTGTGTAAAACTAACGCTACAATATCATATAGTTCCAAATCAACTTTCTATATAAATTTCTTACATTTTGAGAGCTATCAGTGTCAAATAAAATTCATTTATAAACAAAATCTGTGTATGAACCACCCGGTTTATCTAAATTTTTTTAGTGGTGCATCCATATTTGCATATAAATTGAGTTTTCCTCTACTCAGCAGTTATTTTTCATTACACCCAAGTATAGTTGTACATACATACAATATATACTTGTACATATGCCTGCATATATTTCTACGCCGTTGTAGTTACTTGTGTGCATTAATATGTGGCCTATGCGTAAAAAATGATGGCTCTATTTAATTATAAAACATTGCAGCAAAAGTGATCTGCGCGATATATCCCATTGCAATCAACGTTTGAAGGCACACCAACACACTAACGTCACATCACATCATACGTGCTATGTATGTGCACTTATAGCAGTCACTGTGCAGCCCGTACCACGGCTTGCGCACACTTCCGTTGGTTGCCATCAACAAAATTGTCATCATCAATGTCAACGTAATGACATATTGTGCGCATATTTGCATAAAGTGTTGGCTCTGTTGCGTTTTTTTTTTGTTTTTGCTTGTGCGTCCAACATCCCGCACGTCATACCACGTGTACACCGTTATGCTGCTCGCACGTTGTTTTTTCACCACCGTTTTGCTTTGCAATTTCATCCACTGATTGCGCAACTTTTACTCAATCATCCTTCGAATTCCGATTGTCGTACGAAAATGCACGCACACACACACATAAACACATATAGGCACAAATACTCGTATACCCACCCATAATTACTGCTGTTCTTTTTGTTGTTGCAATTGCTGTCATATGTGCGACAACAAAGTGGATTATGTTGTCAGCAATATGTCACAAGACACCGCCCCAGCACCCTTCTCTTCCTCTCACTATCTCTCTTCATCTCTTTTCCTCTCTTTTTGTTTAAATACATGAACGGGGTTTTCGTCTCAACACCGTGTGTCATATCAAGTTCCGTCTTTCTTCTTCGTCTTCTCTTTTTTGTTGCTAAAATTCAATTAATTAAAATTTAATTATATGCTAATTTTATTAGATTAGACTAGATTTTTTTCATAGTCTCCGACAAAAATAAAATGAAAACTTAATGATGCACATTGTTATAGGCAAAGCATTCTACACAAATATTGAGTATTTGTGGCGCGGGTTTGTGTGTGGTTTTTATGCATTTCGTTTGAAGCGGAAATTGAGCGTGTTGCGGAAGATAAAAGTGATGATATGAAGAAAAATAGAAAAAGCTAAAAACCTACTCATTGCATATAGAAATATAAAGATCTCCTGTTATATGCTGAGATCCATGT